CGCTGGGCAGTACTCACCGTCACTGCTGCACCCATGAGTCCTTGCACCAGTGCCTCGCCAGTGGACTTGACCTAGGAGGAGTCAGAATCAGGTTCTCTGAAGCCCCCATCACAGGCTCAAAGGTGACACAGGTAGGACAAACCAGCAGGCCTATAACTCTACCCAACAGGTAGAGTTTAGAGGGCCCTGTGAACTGGAGGAAGAGGCTACGGACAACAACCACGAATGGGCCAAATGAGCCACATGTGGCTCTTGGGAAGGCTGGGATGAGGGAGAACCAGCCCGGTTCCCTGGGGGGGGGCCCTCAGGACTGCCAGTTGAAGCCAAAGGGGAGCAAGAGAACAGAGAGGTGCCCAGCTGTGGCTCGAGGAGGATGGTGCCTAGTGAGGAGGCCTCCCAAATGGCTAGCCCCCCACTACCTGCTTGGCAGTGTGGCCCATGTTCATTGCGTCATTAATCCGGTTTTCCAAGAAGCGCCAGGTGTCCTCAAAGTCTGGGGAGGAGTCCTGCATCATCACCAACTCTGTCGTGTTGTAGATGCCAGCCAGCACAGCTCGGCGAGTGTACCAGTTGAACTGCAGAGAAACCCACCCAGGCAGGTGGGTCACCACTGCTGCTGTGGGCTGGGGGGAGTCGGGGGTAATTTCTACCCAAAGCCACAGGCACTCGTGGGCTCCCTCCTGATTTCTTCTTCCCCTCACAGATACACATGTTCCTCTGGGCAACACTACTGTTCCCAAATGTGGCTGAGCGTCAGGATCACCTGGGACAGTAAAAATGGAAGCGCCTGGGCCCAACCTCTTAGCGTTCAGAGTCAGTGGGTCTGAAGTAAGTGCCAGGAATCTGAATGTTTACAAAGCATCCTAGGTGATTTTGCTACATGCAGTCCATTATGGAACTGCTGGTGAAAAGACTACGTCTTAGGACATCTAAGTTCCGGGGAGTCTCTGTGGTCAGCCAGTTATGACCAAACCTTAGTGTGTTAATTAGAAAAGTGAGAGCTGAGACAGGATCATGGATGGGTTAGAACACCTAGGAAAGGCTGAGAGTTCAAGTCCTTCAGCCATTTCTGACTGTCCTGGCAAACTACTCTTCAGAGCACTAGCTCAGCTGCTTCATGTTTTATTCCTTTAATTTCCTTGCTTTCTAATTTCATTTTCCTACCATCTCTGTTGGTGGTGTATTCCCACAGCAGGGAAGTTTATTAAAGCACTTTGTTAGAACTGTGGTGGGGGCATCTCTTTGCTTCCCCATCCTGGATTCCATAAAGTACCATCACTATTAATTTCTCTTTATGAAGATATGCTTTGTTTTTTAATTTCCTAACAGAAACATGATAGCATTAACAAGTCAGATTCTTTCCTGGTGCCTGTTTAAAGGCTCATTGATCTCAGCAAAGCAGGCCAAGAGGGGTTGGGGGGCGGGAGTTATTTTTAAAGCAATGCGTGTCTCCATGGCATTAAAAAAAAAAAATCAGTCTCATGAAAGACACACAGAGAAATTCTGCTGCAAAATCTAAATCTTAGAGGAGACCGAGGGGGAAGTGATTATAAAATGGCAGCCCAGGGGCCAGTCGAATGGCTCAGTTGGCTTAAGAGCGCGAGCTCTGAGCAACAGGGCCGCCAGTTCAATTTCCACCTGGGCCAGTGACACTGCACCCAAGTTGACTTATCGCTGAGCTGCCAACAGGTGGCAGGATGGCTCAGCTGATATAACAACATGATTGCCTGTTCAATTGTGGGCTATGCCCACCCGCAACTAAGATTGAACACAGCACTTTGAGCTTAGAGGCCACGAGCTGCCAATGGGAAGCCAGATGGTGACTAGCGCCCTCCACAACTAAAACTGAAGAACAACAACTTGGCTGGTCCCCTTCCCCAATTCCCCAATGCTGTTCCCCTCCCTCAATTCCCCCAAAAATAAAATAAAAATAAAATAAAATGGCAGCCCAACCACAAGGCCCTCTGATGTCCTGTGTCACCACCATAGGTCGGAAAGAATCATCACTGGTTTATGGCTAGAGTGCTGGTCCCTGAATAAAGACAACCTAGATCCTGTGGCTTGCTGAGGGCCTTCCTCACGCCTTTGTGTCTCCTTACCAAGAAGGGAATGACACTGCAGGCCCTCGAAGGGGTTGTGATCAAAGGAATTTCATACACTTCTTGAAGAAATGCTTAACCCAAGCCGTTCCCTGTGGGCCTGCAGAAAGCACTCACGTCAGTGGACTCGTCCCCAGCATAATGCCACATGTCATCCACCATGCTGGTGAGCAGGTTCAGGCTGGGAGGGATGTTGTGAGGGAGCATGAGGATGCTGAGGGCCTGAGGAGAGAACGACAGAACAGGTATTGCACACAGGTGACAAAAGCGTGTGGGTGGCTGGTGCCTCACCTCTCCACTGAGGTATGTAAGGAGGCCTGCCCAGCTCTCATTCTGGGACCCACCACCTCCACCCCTCCTGGCAGCTAACTACCCTGATGACAGATGATGGGAACCAGGGGCAGATCCTACCCTCAGCTGGCCCAATCAGATTCTCAATCCCTAGCATGTGGATTGCTAGGAGAGTCTAGCCTGGTCTCTGCATACTGAGAGCAAGGATGGGGGAAGGCACCCATTCTGTAACATGTAGAAGCAGAGATAAGAGGGGACTCTGGGGGTGGTTTCTAGGTCCAAATTCTAGGCCACTCCCAGGGCCCAGTAACATTCCTGCCCTTAATGCCCCACTGCAGCCTCAATAAATTCCTCCATTGTACTGGCTTGGGACGCCAGAGGGCCCCGGTTCGGATCCACATATGAGGGCCAGTGACACTGCACCCAAGTTGACTTATCGCTGAGCTGCCAACGTGGTACAGTAATACCTTGGTTTGCGAGCATAATTCATTCCGGAAACAAACTACTCGTATTGCAAGACATCACTCGTTTACCACGTTAAAATGTATTAGAAATATTTGCTCATTTTGTGGAACACTTGCAAACCATGTTACTCGCAAAGCAAGGTTTTGCTGTATATTGTTATAGCAGCCTGAGCAGACTAATACAAGAGTTAACCAGATTTGCAAAGGGAGCCCAGCCAGTGTAGAGGCTAAGAAAATTATTAAAGCTAAAGAATTATCACTGAAATGGTTAGCAACAGACAAGAGCAGCCAAAGGAGCTACCTATGAGGGTGAAGGCCCAGCACATTTTCACATTTTACTGATGGGAAGCCTGGGTCCAGAGAAGCAGAGGTATCATATTGCCCAGCAGTGTTAGGCAGCACCAGGGCCAGAACACAGGTCTCCTGGCTGCTAGGCTCAAGACACTTCCACAACACACTCCCTCTGGGGTATCGGATACCTGCCACGGTCTGTATGAAAACTAACTACACAACAGAAAACTGATTCAAACGTATTTATTATAATTTTACAGACTCTAAATTCACTAATAACCCTGCAATGCATGCTGGTGTAATGTGACACCAGGTCTGGAATCACACTTCTGGCTAGGCTGTGCACCACTGTCCAGCAGGCACCTGTCTCAGGTGAGGCAGCTTTCTGAGGATGTTCCCAGGTGCAGTATCTCAGAATGCTGGAGAGGGAAAGGGCCGCAAGGAATGCCTCTGGGTGCACAAGCCTGTGCTGTGCTGTGGATGAGCTGCCACTTGGGGTGGCTTCAGACCCTGACTCTGACTTAGGAGCCCCAGAGAGCATTGCTAGGAAGGTTAAGATATGATCAAGGTGCCTGTGAGACCATGGCAGGGATGTGCTGGGTTTCTGTGGATTGAATGCTTGGATGAGAGCCTCAGTTTTCAATTACACAGCTGCAATGCAGAAAGGCCTGGTATTAGGAACTGAAGAAGTGGCCCAATCTCAGGCTACAACTGGATCATCAAGTGCTCTGTAGTTTCCAGGTGGCTATGGTGGTGACGTAGGAGTCCTCGAATGTTTTCTCATTAACACCCCGTTCCGTGAATGGCACTTCCTATTTTTCAATGCCCTTTAAATTTATCCGCGGGTTTTCTTCTGGGCACTCTAGCTTACATTACACCCCTTCTTGCTCACCGGCGCTGGTTTAGACCTGTCAAGTTCTTGAGCTGATAAAGGGATGGAAACAGAGAGAGAGAGA